TGTGTGTGTGTGTGTGTGTGTGTGTGTGTGTGTGTGTGTGTGTGTGTGTGTGTGTGTGGTTTCCATTCTTGACTTGATTCCAGCGACCACAGGTTCCTCTGGCCTTCCCCTCGTCCCTCCCTCTCCTCTCCTCCACACTATCTTCTGTTCTCCAGACGTTCACTCCATACGTTGTGCTCTGAAGAGGTGTCCTCCTCACAGTTTGTTTCCTGTCTTTCTCCCTTTTCAGCCAATGAGGAAAGAGCCGGAGGTTGTCACCGTAACCCTGAAGAAGCACAATGGCATGGGCCTCAGCATCGTGGCTGCCAAGGTAGGAAATAACACCTGGTGTTTCTTCTCTTTGTGTTGCAAGTTAAATTTCAGAAGTTCCTTTTTGAAGTAACAGTATCTATGAGTTTAGATTGATGGTTTAGAAGTGTAAAAACTGAATCTCAAAGGCACTGTTCAGGCTGCTTGTTGACAGCTGAATGTTGGTTGAGTGTGTTTTGTGTGTGAGGCTGCTGTTTTTAAACCGCCTGTTTTCACTGTTGAGTCTGACAGCAGGGCAGAAACTTCTGGACAAAAACCTGCTCGCTTCAGTTTGCTGTTGTAAGGGGAGTGGGCCGACCCACCCGTGCATCAGAATCTGAGTTCCTGCTGACATCTGCAGGAACCAGAACAGCAGCCCATTTTAAACTGAATTACCRTATTTATTCAAGTATAATACATAAAATTTAATCCATAAAATCATCCATAAAGTTGGGGGAAGTGTTATACTCGGATAAATGTTTTTACTTATGAATTTTAACTGAAATATCGGCAGAATTTTTGAGTCTGGAAATGAGACCGCGTTGTAAAAAAGCAGTTGAAACAAGCTCACCTCTGACACTCTTCTGTGCTTCAGAGTGAGATAATAACAGATCCAAACAGGAGACATGATGTGAAAAAAAGGGGGGAAAATCGGTCCTGCAGCTTAGTAATGATAACAAACTAATGACATTAATGTGTGACTGAGCTGCTCCTGGAACAACAACAAACACATGTTCGTCTGTAATGGCTGCCATCTACCGGTGTTCTGAAAAAGTTTGTTTCCCTGAAAAACGTTTCCCCACCAGAGGGGGCGCACGCAAGTAGGAAGTAATCTGCTTTCCCCCACAAGATGGTCCAAATCTCATGTGAAGTCTCTGACTTTTGTGT